TAAACCGCTTAGAGAGGGCTGAAAGCCCTACGAAGCGGTATATAAGTCTAACTGCTATTGCTATTAAACATTCATTCTTGGCCATATTTGAGATTTTTACCTGCAACCTGACAGCAAACCTAGGGTTGACCCCTGGCACTTCTCTCGGCTAACAGGTGCCCAAGCTAAGTGCCTGAAGGACCCCATCCCATCCCTAATTCATATTAGTGGTCCATGGGATCTAAAATTATGTCTGAAAAATTGGGGTCCCCTGATTTAGACCACTTGGATAGGAAACATCAAGGAACACAAGGTTGCAGGTTACTCCAAAGAAAGTTGAAAACACCCATGAAGAAAGTAATGGCCGATCGATATCTGCATTTTGCCCCCCCCCCCCCCAAAATCTGCACAATTATGTCTACGATGTGTAACAACCTGGAATCGATAGATCCCACAGGAAACTCATTGATTTAAACCAAATTGTTGGTCTACCTTGGACTTTTAAAAATAAAAGTCTTAGAAGGAAAAGAAACATTTTTTCCCCTATTTTTCTCCTAAGGATTTGGGGAGGGAGGAGGGCATTCCGATTATTTTCACTGCTTTTCTTCAAGTTTATCCCATTTTCAGAGAAACAGCTAAGAGGGATCCCGGTATGAATTTTTGTTCTTTTTTTCCCCCTCTTCTTCCAAAGGCTTGATTCCTTTCCAACCCAATTTTATGGCAGGAGAAACTGTGCAAAAACAAAGAGAGGCCTGGGGTGCTCGCTGATTGTCTTCCCTCGTAATTTTCTGAGCCATTACAGCCAATTAATCATCTCTAATAATGTTCTATGCTTCCATAATTCTTAAAAGCAATTGTTTCTTTTTTGGAAAAAAAAGAAAAAGAAAAGAAAGGAAGAGAAAAACCAACAAAAGCCCTGAGTCTACCCTGTTTCATTCTCCTGTCAAAGTTGGTCCCGCGCTAATGTCGTGGTGATGAATTGGCAACACCCTTCTCGTTCCCACAAAGATAGGCTAGTGATATCCCGAGGATAGGATTATCAAGGCTTCGGGAGAATACCAAGCAGGCCGAGTCCATGGTAGTTAAGAACCAGAAGCTCTTTAAATGGCTTATGAAGGAGAATTGAGAATTAACTTAGATACTAGTGGAGCGCATTTAATCTTCCCGACATTGTTTTCCATTTTCCCAAAGCCTTAAATATCGATCCGGCCAAGTTGCTTTGAATCCTAGAAACGTACAGCTGAAAAAGAACCTAAAGTTTATCCAACCCTTCCTGTTCTGACCGAGCCTTCCCAAGAGCAGGAAGCAATTGAATTGAATTTATTGAATTTGAATTGAATTTATTGCACTTATATGCCGCCCTTTTCCCCGAAGGCGACTCAGCAACCTCCTTGTCTGGACAAAAGCCTCTTTTATTAATTGACTGTGAATTCTGCTCATTGACATCCAGCAAAGTCTTTCAAGGGAGGATTTACAGTCACAGAACTTATCTGGCTTGGAGAGCTGCCCGGCCGATATCTGTGAAACGTGGTAGGGAGTCTCAGAGAGTCACGGACCAATTAAGCGAATTGTCTCCTGCAAACTCCACTCCCCTTTTGCTCCTCTTTTATTTCTTCTGGGAGGGGCCATTCATCGTCCACCTGTGGCCTTACTCCCAAGTCGACACCTGTTCTTAGCTGTTCTCTTCGTCTGGCAACTCTGTGCATGCGCACACTGGGAACAGGCTGCAGCTGTTCATCTGCCTCACTGATCTCTGACTCTGAAGGCAGCTGATAATTGGCATATGGCTCTGGGCCCCCCT